CTTGTTTTTGCAAAATTAGGAGCGTCAGGGTTTGTTCTTGGGGTCAAAGTCGTCAGCATCTCTGGTGGGAGCTCAGTCACCGTCACCCAGGCCACACTGTGCGCATGGGGCCCTCACACCTTCCACAGTGCTGTCCGGAACAGCAGGGGCGAGCAGAGCGGGAAGCGGACCCAGCACCAGCGCACAGCACCGCATGTACTGAGGATGCTGCCGAAACGCTGGGCTGCTGGGCTGCCTGGGAGCAGAGCATGCTAGTACTGCCCAACTTCTGCTAGATTCTGAGGGAACCCCCAAATCCTGTTTGGTTTTCCTGTGGCCTTTTGAGAATGTCACCGGAGCACCTGGATCCCCTCTCTGACCTAAGTGTCATGAAGCCTGTGAAAGCCAGCTTCCTGCTTCTGCCCTGGGCCCCATGCAGACTGTTAATCCACACGCTGCCAGAGGGATCCTGTGAAAACCTAGGTAATGTCACCTCCCTCCTCTACTCAAACCCTCCCATGGCTCCCACTTTCTTCAGGGTCAAAGCCAAGTCCTGACTGTGGCCTATCAGGCCTCTGCCTTCCCAGGTCTTTCCCTCTCCTCCTGCACCCCCACCTCCTTCATCTCTCCCACTCAGTGCACTGGCCTCCACCAAGACGCTTTTGCCTCAAGGCCTTTGCACTCGCTGCTCCCTTATGTCCTTCACTGCACTGTCTAAATATCAGAGAAGCCATCCCTGACCACACGAAATAGTGTCTCTTTCCCAAAATAACTCTCCCCTTACCCTCCCTGCTTTATTTTTCTCCATTGCTCTTTGTCACCACTTGACATGTTTCCAGATACCAGAGAAACACAGAAGTCCTCAGGAACCTAGGTCCAATGACAATAAACAAAAGAATACAAGGTTTGGGGTGTTTTGTTACACAGCATTATTGCCACCACAGATGACTGATGCATGTAGTGAGAATGGAGATGAGATTACAGTGAGCTCCGGAGAGAAGAGAATGGAATAAAAAAGCCCTGGTTAATAGGGGTGTGGCAGACACTGTCGATGGCCCAACCACAGACATTATCAACTGTTCTTTCTGGCTGAGATAATCCTCTTTTATTTAGGGTCATCAGTCTATATGCTCAAAGAAGGGGCCCCCTCCCTAGCCGGAGGAGGTAAGACAGGTCTCAGGACAGAAGCCCACACATTGGTGATGGTAGAGTAGAGAAGGAGAAAAGCACATGTCCTTGATAATGTCCCTGAGTCACACTGTATTAACCACCCTTGAACTACTTGTGGAAGACACTGCTCGGTGCCTACTCAATGCCCACTATCCCTTGTTTACTTGTTTACAGACCCTGATTTTATTTGGAATGGCAATGGGCCAGCTAAAAGCACTCACTCTCCTAGACTCCCTGACAGCTAGGAGTGGCCATGTGATCCAGGTAGAATCAATGAAAATTAAACCAAATTTGCCCAGCAGAAATCTCAGGAAAGCTTTTTGAAAACAGATAAACATGGTGGGCACACTGCTCACCCCATATCCCTTTTTCCTGCTCATAATGTGGACAGGAACTGGTGATGAAGTGACCATCTTGCAACTATGACCAACCATGAGGACAAAAGCCACATGTTCTTGATGGCTGAGCAAAAAGTGGGAAAGAACCTGGGCCCCTGGTGGCATCACTGAGTCATCATCCCATTGGCTCTTGATGCCTGGATTTCTAGGAGCAGGAGACAACATAAACCTGCCAATGGTCAGGTTTGTGTTACTTGCAGCTGAATGCATGCCTGATGGGCCCGCCACATGGTCTCTGCATTTTTGAACATATAAGAAGATGCATTTCCTTAATGATTAAGCCATTTTGCGTTGGGTTTTCCTGTGCTCGCCCTTGAAAGCAGCCTAATGAATACCTGTGCTTTGTAGGGAGTTGACTTCTGATGAGCTGAGTTTTGCAGTGAGTTGACTTCTGATAAACCTGATCTTGGACTTGAGTGAAATGGGGGACAGAGGGTCATTCTTGCTCTTCTTGGAAAATCAGAGGGTGAAAGAGAAGCAGTCTGATTCCCTGAGCATGTTTTTGCCAAGACCAAAGGGACTAAGAACTCAGGCTCTACATCCACTTTAAATATGTCTGAAGAGTCCTGACTAACCTGTTTGTTTGTTTGTTTGTTTGTTTGTTTGTTTTTGGAGGAGAAAGCTAAGGTTTAAGGAGGCAAACTTACCACGTAAGGCACTCAGCCAGAGTCAGGTCTGCCTGAGTCTGGGACCATCTTTTTTTTTTTCTCTCCTTTCTGGGTCCCAGTCTTCTCATCAGTAGAATGAGATTATTCAAGATCAAAGCTTTTCAAACATTTTGCTTCAAAGTAGGCAAAACCCCTTTTCAGCTGAACCTTTACTTGCTGTCCAACCTATAAAAAAAGATAAAAGAGTGGAGGGTCAGGAGGCCTGCCGTTTCCTCCCCGAGCCCCATGGCCTGCAGCACCGCCTTGCACTCCTGGGCTTGAGGGCAGGCTTTTAGGAAACACCAGCTTAGCTTCTCCCGAGGCTTTTGGAAAGAGCTCTGAAACCAAGAGGGGAGTCTCTGATCTTTCCAACATTATTAAAATGTTTCTCAGAAGACAGAACCAAAACAAAACCAAAACAAACGCTTTCCAACCGCGCAAAAGAACAAGGACAGGGAAGTTACTTCCCTTCCATCTGCGGCTTGCTCTTCCCACCCTTGACCCCTCCACCCAATAGCCCCACTGCCACCAGGGCCTTGTGTCTCCCCCAGAGACGG